AATCTGTAATTTAGCATTAATTATTCATATCTTTTTGTTAATGCTTTCCAAAGTTAGTACTGATTCAAATAAGCACTATGGTGCCTGGGGGAGGGGCCAGAAGTGAAGGGTAGGAATTGTCCCAGCAGAAACTATCAATCTCAAAAACGGCTATTTTCACAACCTGCTTCCTCTGTCAGTGCCGACTCCTGCAACATGATTATCTATTTGTACTGCCTGGATGGCTGCAGTGATTTTTCCCACAGCAACTAGCAGGGACCCATTTTTGAAAAACTTTGCATCAAAGCTTTGCTATGCAGTTTACTCTGAATTTGCTACTGTTACATCAACAGAGAATGAAATTAGCTTCTTCAGCAGTGGTGTCTTGAGAGTGTGTAATGAGGAAGCTTGCCTAAGTAAACTGCAACAGCATTTACAGAGCAGTTAACAGGCACATAACAAGGTGACTGCCTTCAGAAAAGCTTTTTTCCACATGGATTTTTCTCCAGAAGAATTGCTTCAGGTTACTTCTTCACCACTATTACATTCTCAAGTAGCTGTCTAGCACAAATTCGTTGGGTTCCATAGGGTTTATTCACAACTAACCCACATAAAGGACGTATCACAACCCATGAGAGAGTCCTGTGGCATCTTTGGTAGGAACTATGAAGATTTACAGAAAAAAAATCCCCAGAAAAACAAAAACTTTCAGTTTAAAGCAAAACATTGTGATTGAAACTGTGTCCTCATAGCAGAGATTCAGCTCACAGATTATCTTATCCCATCCTCTTTCAGAATCACAGGACGGGCCAATAGATGCACCGTTCTTGTAATTTAATTTTCACCCCAAGGTGAGTCCCTTCTTTAATTACCTAAAAAGAAAGGGGGGAAAAAACTCTGCTTACCTTGAAGTAAGCCCATTAAATGCACCAAGACAGGTGCATCAGTTGGTTCCCATTCTGAGTGAGGATGTAATAATCTGTGTCTCCTGGAATACAGCTTCAGGCACAATCATTTGCTTTAAATAAAATTGGTTTCTCCTTTTGTGAATTTCCCTGATTTTGAATCATAGGAATAGACAGACATCAATGTTGGAAAAGAACATCTGTGTTTATTTCAGGTAATACAAAAATATTTTCACAAATCACAGTATAGACACAACTGTGTCAACAAAAACTTAACAGCTTGGACTCACAGTAGGACCGTCTTCTCCCAATTACTGTAATTCTTGCTGAATCTCTACGAAAATCATGGCTACTCACAAAGCAGAGGGACTTGGCATTTGAGACCATTATTTAAAAAGACAAGTTCTACATGCAATAAAGTGTCACTCATAAACCACCACCCCCATCCTCACATGCCACTCAAAATCTTACCCAGAAAACATATTCCAGGATTAGACGTTTTCCAACAAAAGCTAGTCCTGCCCAAAGAGACGGAGTGCTACAAAACCACCGCTTTCATCTCATAACTGGCACTCTGTTTTGTCCACTTGCAAAAAGTAAACTTCAAGCTTTCAAAAAGTGGCAGGACTGAGATGTAGAACCACAGAATCAATGAATAATAGCTATAATTATAATAGAAAAAATGGTAGAAACCTGCTTTAAAAAAGAGCAGGTTTCTACCATTTTTTTCTATTGGGGTTAAAATGGAAAGTATCATTGTAAATACACATGGTGGCTAAAACTATTATCTAATTATTAATATTTAGTCTGACATTCATGTCAGTGTTCAAGCTGTTCCTACAGAATCTTGTAGGTTCAGAGCACCATCTCCTATGGCAGATGGGGATCAACTTCCATTGATGCAGTCTGAGGATGCTGTTCCACTACCTGGAGCAGACTGGATTTTGGCTAACCACATGCTTTCTTTTCCTTGCCTCTCTTGGTTCCTTACATCCAGCTGAAGGAGATGAATTGGGTGGAAATGACAGGATGTCTCTTTATAGCAGGGAATGCTCCCCCATGCCTTGAAAAAGAGACATGTTCAAACTCTTCATTTTAAAACCCTCCAATCCAGAAGACTGAAATAGCTACTGCACGTTCATAAATATCCCATCTGAGGGCAAAGTATTGGAGAGTTCGGCAAAGATCCAATTCCAGTTAAGACGAAATGAATTATTTGGACCCATTTTCATCTAATTCAGGCTTGGTGGACACTGAAACTGCCCGAGCCAGGACACATCTAGTGATGGTCTCTACGAAAGAGAGAGACAGGAGGAACACAAGTCTTGTTATCCTTAACGTCTGGGAGGCAACTAATATCACAGACCATGGCAATTTTCTCTACTGGTTCTGCGGACTGAGTGACGGCAACGGATATGGTGATCTGGCCTTTATATTAGTACAAAAACAATATTTATCCAACCTCACAACATTTATAATTAATTATATTTCAGTATTATGGTATCCATCTTGTTCCCCATGCTCTTTAATTTCTGTATGAGATGCTGAACCTCACTGCTGCCCATGTAAACAGACAATGTGCTGCACAACAGGTAAAGTTGCATCTACTGTAAATCTCTGGGTGATCTTACTGCAGACTGGAAAGGGTTGCTAACTCTTCAATTTTTTTTTAACAATAGCTTCAACACAATGATTCCCCCATTATAGTGCTGAAATGGAGATAATCTGGATAATCTGTAAATGGATTTTTATCAAGATTGTAATCTCCACATCTTCTAAAACACAACACAAGCAGCCAGGATCAGAATCCTTCAAATCTAAGCACCTGCCCTCTGCACCAGGTTCCAACTGATGGATCTCAGAGGTCAATAAAAACAAAGCCTGATGTTTCTCCAGCTTTCTTCCTAGAATATACCAAACATTCTCCTGCAGCTGCACAACAGAAGCAAAGAATACAGTGACAGATGACCTGCTTTTCTGGGAAGCCTGTTTGCCAGTACTGATCTCACTAGGAAACCCTCAACAGTTTAAAAAAAAAACCAATGTTTTTCTGGAACACTGTCTGAAAACTATACTGCTGCCCAAGCCATGCTTTGACAGAGAAGCACAGTTCTCATATTGCCACCTGCTAGACATGCAACATGTTGTTCCAACATAGCAGGTGCATATTTAATGGATATTAATGATGTTTAGTAGTCCAGCCATCAACTCTTGCAAAGCAGCCTTGGGATCTTTAGAAGCTACTGGCAACAAAAGAGAACACTTGGTACAGCTTGCCGGCAGATGTTGAGAGACAGGCAGGGTACGAGGGCACAGCTGACAAGAGAAGAGAGAACCACGTGGGAATGTTCTGTAGTGCTTACAGACTTTGGAACTGGGAGAAAGAGATATAAATAAATAAAAGTTAACATTGTTGAATGTATTCCCAGGTTAGGGATGCACCAAAAAAAGGGGGGGGGGAATATATCCAGTAGGAAGCTGGTAATTCCCCCTGTTTGACATGAAGGAACAAACTACCGGGAGAGAGTAGAAGCAACAAACAGATGTCAGAGAGAGAAATGTTCTCAAAATATTCTAATCAGACTAGCTACTCTCTGGAGAAAAAGCAGAGAAGTTCCAAAGGGCCAACTCATGACATTTTGCTGCCTTTAGCAAAGAACAAAATGATGCAGAATCATTAAATCATAGAGCCAAAAAGGGACTCCCCGGGACCCCCTTCTAAGCCACTGCCAAAACAGGAAACGGACAGCCAAATCTTTCTTCAACACCAGCAATGTGAGAGCCTCTTCTACCACATCTGACGGCTGGAGGCATCTTAGAACAAGTTGTGCGGCGCATACGTCTCCACTGCAGCACTTCCTGGGAGCTAATAGTATGTGCAGATCAGAGAGTCCTGGATCTTTCCTTCACACACAGCACCTATCTAATGGCTGCTGGACAACCCCTACCCTTATGTGCAAGAAAAGAAACATAAAATAATATAAGATTAGCCCGGCAGAAGAATATTTTGCTTTTAATGTCAAAACCAGCTGATGTCTCAAGGTAGATGCTTCAATGTGAGATGTTCGAGGCAACTGCCCTGCTTTGTTCTTGGAATTTTAGGGAAATGTGGTGCTCCAGATTCCATGTCTTCCACTTGTAACCCTTCTATAAGGGCTTCTGAGTGTACTCACATTTTGAAGCTTGAGTTAAGACTCACCAGTTATGGACCACTCCTCAAATTAAGTTCAAATTAAATAATTTTTGAAAAGAAGTGGGGGTGGGTTACTTTTAGATTGCTGTCTGTCTGTTTTTAAAAGGCTGAGCCTTTAGCTGTAAGCAAGCAAAATAAAGTATTTCTTAGCATTCCCCAACCTGGAGCTGTCCAGATGTCCTGTAGTACAATGTCCATCATCCCTAGCAATGATGCAATTGGGTACAGCTGGATGCATTTGTTCCCCTAAGCATTTGCAAGGGCTATATATCCATTCTTGCACAACTCTATCAACTTACACTAAGCAGCATAGTTTAATTTCTAAATAGGAGGTGGTGGAATGCAAGTTTGCCTGCAAGAAGTAAGGTTTGTGCCCTTATTAAATGGAAGCCATTTCTGGTCTCTATTGAGAACTACTGAAGAGCTGTTTTTTCTTTGCAGTAGAGGCCATGACACTCTTTCTGCATTGTTTAAAGCTGTTCTTCACTTGATGACAGTTAGAAAAATGAGGGAGGTGATGGTTCACCATGGAAACCCTGCCAATTCAAAGTTGCCGCCAGCGTCACAAGCCCAGAGATCTTGTGCCCTCATGCAGCTGAACAGTTCCCATGAAAAAAAGCAAATAGGCTACAATTCTAAGGGAGGGGAAAGTACAAAATGATTAAATTTTGGAACCTCATCCTTACCACTGAGGATCTAAATTTTATTCTAAAATAATTCTAGTTTTTTTCCCCCCAATTCAAAGCTGGATTCAACTGCAGCTTGGGCGAACCGCGCCAAATGTGCATTTTTAATCCTCCCTGACAGTCACAACACAGCCTCTCTCCCCGACCTTAGAATTATTTTAGAATAAAGAGTTTGTGCTTGCAAAACTCCAGCTCACGCAAGCACCTAAGTGGGGCGGCGACAGTCACACAAATCACCTGACACTCCCAGCACTTCGCATTCATCTTTCCCGCAGTAAATAGCGGCGATGGCAGAGAGCTCCTCCAACGCCAGTTCCGACATGGCCAGAAAGTGGCCCGCTTGGGACTTCTTGCCTCCTCGGCAATCCCGAGGAAGAGGCTAGAGAAGCACCTCCTCTTCCGCCTTCCAACAACAGCAGCAAAACACTAAAAAGGGGGGGGGCCGTGGCCACAAGGAGGCGCTGCAGCACCTTCCGTGTTAGACACCGATATGCGAAACATGCGGCTACTGTACTTCGTCATTAGTTGTACCGTGTGTGGTCTGTGGCGGGTTCTCACGTTACGGAACCCCTGCGTGTCGGGGCAAAGGGCACGAATAGTACGTGCAGTATATCACACCTGTTCGCCTGCGCGCGGAGCAAAGGAATAAGCAGGGAGTTGACAAAAATAGGTTGTTTTGATGGATGTCACAGGGTGAACCAGCCATAGAAACTTACTGAGGGTGTGGAGCCAGTAAAATCAACCCTTCAGTATCTCACTTACCTTGAAAGCCCTGTTAGGGTCTCTAGAAGTTAGTTCCGACTTGAAAACACGTAACATAAACTGGGATTCAAGGGGTCATGGAGGAATGAGGTTATGTCAAATACTTTGTTAGAGCTCCCAAACCGAGCGATCTAGAAGTAATTTTTCCTCTAATTCTGGAAGTATCCTCCGGTAGTATTCTAGCATGCTTTGCTTAGGTTGTTCTGTTTCCTGCCTGTTGCCACTTTTGTTTACTATGAAAAATACGATGGCCAAAACCGTATTGCAAAATAGTGCACCCTCAGGGGAGATTAGGCAAGCGGTTTTTGCAATTTCTTCACCATCTGTTGTGCAGTTTGCCACACAACTGGATGCACAACCCAAGGCAACCAGAGCACACCTGAGTATACAGTAGGTAGGCAGAACAACAAAGCGCACCAGTAGCACAATTTCTGATTTTGCACTGCACAGACCCACTAGCATTCTGGCCAACCTTTAGTTAATTAATAACAAAACCAGAATATACATTGACCCCACCAATCAGTAATGCTCAAACTATATCCAGTGTGATGTAATGGTTAGATATTGAATTTCTGACATGATTAACTCAATTCCAGTGAGTGGCACCAGCCATTGGCTCTGCCTTAAATACTTCCCTGGGGTGAATTCACGCGTCAACTCAGTTCCTGTGAGTGACACCAGCCATTGGCTCTGCCTTAAATACTTCCCTAGGTAGTTGTGAAATAGATGCCATGAGCTCAACGAATGAAGGATGGGATAAAAAGGTATTTGTAGTGATTACCCAACTTTGGCTCAGGTAGAAGATTATTGGCATGTACCAATGAGAGCTGTTGGGAGGCAGAGCCAGAGAAACTGGAAGGGAGGGGGTGAGTCAGTTTAGTTCTTTCAGTCAGAGACAGAATTTGGAGGCAGAGAGAGTGTTTAAGGAGTGATTAGTCAGAGTGTGACCTGTATTAATAAAGATAGGAGAGGTTAAAATAAAACACTGAAGCTTGGTGTAACTTTAAGAATGTGCCTAAGAGATATATCTAAAACAACATGTAGTCAATAAGCCTGTTTCGGTTTAAAAGTTCAGTACTGAATGGAGGTATACCTAAAAACATGTAGTCAATAAACCTGTTTCGGTTTAAAAGTTTCGGTACTGCATGGATCTCAGTCTTTCATAGGAAATATAGGTTGATAAAGAGATCAACTGGTGGCAGCGTGTTAAAGGGCGTGTTGGGGTACTCGGGTGAGCTTTTTGTTTGGTGAAACAAGCAGGGGCCACGGGGTAAACGCCACAGTACAGTAGTTAAGGTTGCCAGCTCTCTCGGTTTCTTCATAGGAAGGCATTGGGAGAAAAGCTTTGCCATGTGCATCTCTGTGTCTCTGCATCTGGCTATTTACAGAAGGGCCCTCTGTCCGTAGCAGCTGAGAAACTTCCTATATGCAACATCAATTTATACTTTGAATATACAATAACTGCCAATTTCTTCCCTGGCCCGGCCTGCGTGGCCTAACCACCCAGCCTCCTGATGCCCTGCTGAACTGTACCGGTAAGACAGGCATTCCTTTCTGGCTATGGGGGAAGAGACCAGACCTTGAAGCCCTGAATACTAGAATACCAGCAAGAAATACTTTCAGAATCTGAGAATACTTGCTTCTAGAATGCAAGGAGCTAGAGAGCTCTAGAAAAGCGGACATTTCAGGGATCTGCTGCCCTTCAGGCAGGGAGAGAAATCCTCATACAAGCCGAGCAGGAGGAGAAGAAAATGACAGATCGTTTTAAAGCCTGAGCATCCATCGCTAACCATTTCAAGCTGGCACCAGGCTTCACTGGCTTTGGATGCAGGTGCTTTTATGTATGTGTGCTTGCACAATATTGGCCTCTCAAAGGTTGGGAGGAGACTTGGAAGAGAGCATGTGGGCGAAGGTGCTCCATTGCGCCATTTGGAATAAGGAGGGTGGAGAGTGCCTTTAGCTCTGTTCAGGTGGAATACTTCTGGGTGCTGTGAAGCTGTTTAGATGGGGATGGTTAGCCGTTTGCCCTCTCCTGTCACGTTCTTCACAGTTGTGGGGCTGGGTCTGAAAAAAAATATGTTCCAGCTCATTTTTATGTTTTCCCCGTGAGCAAGAACCCTAGAGCATCTTGGTGCTTGCTTATGTGTAGAGTCTGCTGATGAGCAGGACTGTTCTCCTCTTTAGACCTGGTGCTATATAACCGTGAAAAATGTTGAGTAAAAGATTAAGCACTTCCCTCTACGAAGCATTTTCACATGCTGCACTAAATAATGTCTCCGTTGTTATGGCTTATGAGTGTTGTTGGCCAAGCTGCAGCAACAGTAGCACAGAGCCTGGGGGAGAAAAATGGCCTGGTGCCAGGGCTTCCTCGATCCACATCAGCAACCTATAACTTGGTTAGCCAAGTTGTGAATGGATTTGGGGCCCATTTACCCAGATTCCCTTCATGCTAGTTACCCTCAGGTGGCTTTGAAACAGTTTTGGCTAGTTGACCTTGAAAGAGTCTCCCCCTCCCCCCCCCTTTGCCTTTTAGAACAATACACTGTAAATCCACAGCAAAAAGCAATCCAACCTATGTGTATAAAGGCATGTGAGAAAGCTAAAACGTGCTTTAAATCCAGTCTCTTTCTCCACACCTAGCTTGTTCTGAGGAAACAGCAAGCTGACTGTGAAGAATGGAGAGACACATATGAAGAAACCAAGACTTGAAGAGGCTCATGTGGGGGAAGTGGCCCACAAGACATGGTAAGCCCAGGCTGTTTGCCATGAGTAGTCATTGCCTGCAGACAGGGAAATATCACAGGATCGTTCCTTCGGAAGGGAAACTTAAAGACACACTTTCAGTTTGTAAGGTGGGAAACTGTGGACTAAGTGCTACTTGTTCTTGGCTCATTTCACTGACTTGTTGGGAGACAGAGAGAAACTACACTGACAGCTCCAAACATTGTGGCACAAACCACAGTTTGAAAGTCCGGGGTTTGCTGAGATATTCAGCTTACAGTGTTATTATTAGTTGTTTTATTTTTAGGCTGCCTTTCTCCCGAAAAGGGGACCCAAGGTGGCTATAGACAGTATGTACTACCAGGTTGCCGTGTTCAGAAGAAGCCCAGATTCTCAAGAATGGCAGCCTTGTTCAGGTGTTATAAACCATGTAGAGTAGGAGTCTCCAACCTTGGGCCTCCAGATGTTTTTGGACTTCAACTCCCAGAAATCCTGGCCAGCAGAGGTGGTAGTGGAGGTTTCTGGGAGTTGTAGTTCAAAACATGTGGAAGCCTGAAGTTGGGGACCACTGATGTAGAGTGCTCGTATGAAGAGGGGAACATTTTAACTTAGCCCTCCTATCATCACTTCCGTTACCCTCCTACATATGGAGAGTGACAAATCTGTACAGGGGCAGCTTCCACCGCTTCTGAGGGCTGGCCACAGGAGGTACAACGTGGGAAAATCAGGCTCCCTGCTCACATGGAGGGTGTCCTCAGGCAGCAGAGCCTGCCCCTTTTCAGACTCCTTGCTCTTCAGGTGTAGGAGAGGAACAAAGCTGAGGCTAGAGGGGATGGGAGTGGAATGCATAGCCTCCAGGACCTAAATAGGAGGCACCTTGTCATGAGGTGTAAACCCAGCCAATAAGCATGAAAACAGCAGAATCCCCCAAACTCACTTTAAAATATTAAACCCTGGGGCAGTGGGTTCATTATTTCAGGGAAGCTGTTGTGAGAAAGTATTTGGAATATGACATGGGAGTGAATTTGGATTAGCAACTTTTTAAAAAAAATGGGAGAAAAGCTGTCAAAGGTGCATTTCTTCAATGACAAAGTTTTCTTCCCAATGCATTCTAACCCATCTTTTTCCTTTTCTTAAACTGTGCTCTGCTTAATCCATTTGATACATTTAAATATAGTTTTTTAAAACCCCAAGTCAATGTAAATGTCTTTTAAACTGACACTATCTAAAGACAATGAGGTCCCCACGCAAAAGTTCCTGCACTCTGACATTTGGAAGTCATCAAATGAGACAGCATAATGTCAGTTTGATATTTGTCACACTATGCAAATATCAGCTGCATGTCAAAGATCTAAATTCTATCTAAATGTAATACATTCTCCTGTAGTCCCAGACTTGTGAAAATGCTAAATATTTAAATTTGAGATGAATGTCTATTCTTGGCCTTCATATTGCATTATTACCATATAGGAAGTCAAGATCTCTTTTTCCATTTAAAAAGTTCTCCAGTGATATGGTATATGAAAGGTAAATATTGTTAGCTGCTCTCATTATTAGTATGCTAGTTTTGTATGTGTCTGGCCCACCAATCCTTGAAATGTATACCTTTTGCAGACTTTGTTCTGTGCTCTCATGTGGCTTCCAGTTTATAGTGACCCTAATAGGCTTTTAGGGTGTATGACATATTCAAAGAGTGGTTGACTGTTGTACACACCCCTCTGATTTTTCCAGGAAGGATTTGAGCCCAAGTCTTCTGAGTCCTACTCTGACACTCTATCACTACAATACAGTGGCTCTTACAAACTTTAGTTACAGATAAATATTAGCCCTATCGAAAAGTGAATGTAGGGACAGCCCTACTGTTAGACAGAGCGGAGCAGTCACCTCAAATAGTAGATGCTGATACTTTACATCAGGCAGGA